TCTGACCGCTTCCACGGCCGCGTCGCGACGAGAACCCCCTTCTCCAGCGCCCCCCCCCCTCGCGTTGCCGTCGCGGTTGGTAATTTTGATTTCCAGGCAGCGCTGCGGTCATGGGGGGGCGAGTTGGTCTGTCCAGCGTCGCGCGGGGTCGCTGGCGCCCGCCGCATTTCGGCCCCTGCTGAAGAAGCCCCGCGCGGCGTCGGAGCAGCGGGCGCTGGCGCCCCAGGCGGGCGAGCGCGCAGCGGGCGAGGCACAGCGCGTCCATTCATCTTCTCGGAACGCTCGCCGGCACGTAGACCTGCCCCGCATCTGGCGCGGCCCGCGCGCGCCCCGTCGCGACCGTCTCGCGGGGGCTGATGCCCGCACAGCGGGCGCTGCGAAAGATGGGCCCGGTCTCGCGTCCTCGGGCGGTTCGTAGTCGCACGCGTTGGTAGCGAAGGACCTTCGGTTAGTTATGCCGTTGGAATCCAGGCTTCGCGCTTGGCGACGTGTCCTCAGGGCCGCGCTGCCCCAGCTGGGCGGCGTAGCCCTCGGCGCCTCCGGCCACCCTGATCCCGGCGTTCTCGGCGATGGTGATTTTGGAAAACGCGCTGAAGACCGCGTGGCTGATGGTGGCGTCGCAGGGCCCAACGTTATCTTCCAAAGACCTACCCCATATTAGGTCCACTGGCGGCCCCATCGGCACCGCGATTCGCCGCGGCGCGAGGCGCCGCGGGGGCCCAGTGGGAGCCGGCGAAGCCGGCGACGTTGAGCCAGATGTCTGCGGCGAGGTGGTTCACGCGATCGATGGGATTGTCCACGAACTGGGTGATTGCGCTCATCTCTAGGCCGAGGTCGTTGCATCTGGTCAGGCGGGCTCGAGACTACCCTGCCGACTAGGTTAGGCGCGCGAGAACCCCTGACTCGCGACGCTCAGGTTGTCGATCGAGGCGCCGCTCGTCAGCGGACACGCCCCAAGTCATTGCGGCCCGGGCGAGCCCCAGTCGGCGCCATGGCCCATTGGGCGGGCCGTGATCCCCAATGTCAGGCGCGCGAGAATTCCTGGTCAACGCAGATCAAGTTGCGGTCGAGGCAGCACCTGCCACGAGACATGGCCCGAGCGGTGGCGGGCCGCACTAGGCAGCTATCCCTAGCCGAAAGCTCCCACGCTTTAACGATGTAGAAAAGACCGATGGGTCATGCAGTCGCTGCTCCTTTAGAGATCGCAATAGGAACCAGAACTGCATGCGCTGGCCGACGACCCCCCACAGGTTGGGATGCTCGTTCACGTTCTACAGTGTCCGCAAAGCTTCGCTGATGGACGCGGCCAATCCACTGGTCATGTGGATTGGGCATGTCTTGGCGGCTGTAATCCGACATCCCCCGTCTTCGCTCCGCCCCAATAAAGGCGGGCGCGCACCATGCCCGCGACTGCGCCTGCACCGACAGGGCATTGCAAAAATTTGCGCCGCCGGGCCCGATGCTCGCACCACGCGCAGGCTGCGTGCTGTTGTCCGCGAGATCCGACGCATCATGCGCTGGTCGCAAGACGCGAGCCGTTCGGCGGGTCGTCGCAAAGGCGAAGCAGCTCTGGGAGTAGCCAGCTGCTCGCGATCCTTCTTCTGACGCGGACCGTCTCGGGGTGCCCCGCGGTGGCGGGCGCGCTGGTTGCGCGCGCCACGTCGAGGAACCATCTGGTTGACTTCAGCAAGTGGCCCCCCATGGTGACCCGGTTGCTGTCGTGGTCGGTCACGTAGTTGAGACCCCAATGGCTGTTCTCGGCTACGTAATGGTCGAGGCCCTCTGCGAGAGCACGGAACTTCCCTCGTCGCTGCTGCGCCCGCGGTAAGCCCGCTATTAATGCTCCAACTCTCCCGCTGGATCCACGCGGCCTCGGTGCCCCAACTGGCGAAGTCCCCTTTGGTGGCGCCGTTGCAGCGTCGACGGAGAGCACGTCTGTCTGCGCGCTCCCCGGCGGTTGGAAGCACCTGATCCACCAGTGTAGCTCGACGGGCGATATTCTGCCGAGCGTAGCCTTTTTTGCATTCAGCAAATTCGGGGTGCACGTCGGTCTCGCAGCTAGGTGGGCGGGCGCAGTCGGGCGGCCATCCCTCCTTGATGTTGGCGCGCTGTTGTTTCGAGATGTCACGGTGGTTCTTCTCCGTTCGGTCGTCGTCTAACACGCAGGCGGTTTTCATCCGCGGTGTCGCGCCTGACGGGGCATGCCCTGAGATGCTCCACCAGTCGACCATAGGTATGGCATTGCCCGCTGCACATCAGGCATACCGCGCGCAGTTCTCAAACGGTTGGGTTGGTCACACTTTCGCGGAGCCTGCCGAAGCGCGCAGTATACGTCCTGTTTGCGCCGCACTCGTAGCACATCGGGATTGGCTTGGGCGGTGGCGGCACTGTCTGCGCCCGCGGCATGGCGCCCGTGTTCTGGCGCGGCTCGAGTTCGCCGTGCCCTCGCATCTGGTGGGCGCAGCCCTGTTGCCGTCGTAAGTACCGGCTTGCGGCCTTCTTGACCGTGGCCCGAAATCGCGTTGGTTCCTCGTGGACAGCGCGTGCTACTTCGCGTGGTTCAAGTGTCCTTGTGGTTTGCTCCTCCTGGCTGAGGTGCTCATAAGGTCATTCGAGGTCGTGTCTAATCCTCGCGGTCCAGACAAAAGTCGGAGGCTGGTCGGGCCGTGAAGTAGCACACGTGGCAGATACAGCAGAATCCTTGTTCGCCTGGCGATGCCTGGAGGCAAGCGATGAACCTCACAGAGGACCTGAAGCTGGTGATGCGATCTGCCTTGTCGTAGCTTGCGTGGTACCCAGCGGTTTGCGTGTAGATTTTTGTTCCAAGCTCCCACGGCGCAGGTTTCAGTGCCGCTTGTGGTGAGGTGGTTCCGCACGTGGTCGTTGCACGATAACGCGGATAGGACCAATGATACGTTTTAGCATTCTTTTGGGTCATGGTATGTATTGTCCTTCCGCACCCTCGTTCTCGCACGCACCAACACGCGTGAAAACGCGCACGACACGCGCACGCGTCAGGTGCATGTTGGGTACGATCCCCCCGCGAATGTATCTATACGCGTGGGGAACTCGACGTCCACGTGTTGAAAGCTCCCCCCGCCGCCAGCTGCACACTGAAAAACACATGTCAAGCAAAAACCCGCCAGGCGCAAGTTGGGCAAGATCCTCCGCGCAAGTAATTTCACGTGGAGAACTCAACGACCACATGTCGGATGCCCTCCCATTAAAGCCTGCACGCGTGATTTCTACGTGCGAAAAACTCAACGACCACATGTCGGATGACCCCCGTTCGCGCCTGCACACATGGAAAAATGTGCCAAACGCGCGCGCGCGCCATGCGAATGTGAGGTACCCCCATCCACGCACGTGTTTCTACGCGCGCTGAACTCAACGACCCCATTTTCGATGCCACACGTGTGGCCCCTCTGGCGTCGAACACACGTACTAAAACGGGTGTCAAACGCATGCGTGCCAAGACTCATGTTGGATACCCCCTCTGTTGTGACGTGCCCAAATCCGACGCCACCTGCTCGACAACCCCCTGGTCTAGGGCCAAGGACCCGCCCACTAAAACAAAACGGGGGCCGAACCCTTACCAGGAAAATATACTAAACTAATCCGTCCACCTCCCCCTCCACCTCCTCCTCCTCTTCCTCCTCCTCCTCCTCCTTCTCCTCCTCCCCTATCTCCCTGCCTCCCCTCCCTCCCTCTCGTCCCACTCGTCTGCTCATTCCTCCTCTTCCCTCCCTCCCACTCCTCCTCCTCCCACTCCTCGCACTACGAATCTTCCGTCCCCCAACAGACGACATGCCCAGTGTATGCAAGGGCACTCGTCCTCGATCATGCTCCGAAACTTGTCCTGCGCCGCCGCTCGTACGCTCTCCCTCCTGGCACTCTGCTTCGAGATTGCCGCCAATCCTCAAATCCAGGAGACGGCAAAAACGCGATGGTTCATTATTTAAGTTTTTCTGTCTTTGGAGGCCGCTTCCCTGTCCTGGGACCGACATAAACGGGCTCGGGATGAAAAGCTGGCCCTGGGAGGGGTCCAAATGCGACGGCGGAGAAGAGGGAAGACGTCCCCGAAACCATCCTCAGCCGCCAATCGGCGCGTGTCCAGTTCCTTCGGCAAGACGCCCTAGGAACATCCCCGGGCCCTGGAATAGAATTGAGTGTGCTGGCTTGACCACGTAGGGTGGAAAGCTCCAGGGCGCACACAGTTGCGAGCACTGGGTGCTGCAGAATTGCAGCTCAGGCTAAAAAAGGCCCAGACCCGCAACAGCCTGGATGTTCATGGGATGCTCTGCATCGCAACGTGGCTACCCAAAGGTCTGGACCCCTTCTCTGGGACCCGTTCTTCATCCTGAGCCATGTTTGTCACGGTCCTGGGGCGGGGTGGGGGTTTCTGGAGGCCGAAAGTTCACAAAAACCCTCCGTCACAAACCTGCTAAAGACGTTAGTCGTTCAACAGCCTTGGCCCTCACAAAGTGCACTGAGGCAGGTCCTTCCCAAGGCGACCACAAGACCCCTCAAGCAAGTTCCGTGAAGGCCACTTCCCAGACCCCTTCGCGTAGCGGGACAGATCAAGACGGAGAGTGTTTTGCTATCGGCCTCCAAAAACCCTCGCCCAACCCTGGGACCGTCAGAAAACGACTCGGGGCGAAAAGCCGGTCCCTGGGAGTGGGTCGAGCTCTTCAAAACTCCGCGCTGGGAAACAAAGTGCAGTACGGGAAGACCAGGGAACGACCGCAGCAAGACCACGGGACAAATGCGGGACAACACTGAGGCAACCACGGGACCACTGCAGGACATCCGCTGGACAGCTTGCGCCCGCCGCACACTTCAGCGGCAACACCAGCTGGACCTGCTCACGACGCCTCGGGCACTCGCGCACCGCTTTGCGAGCATGACGCGAACGACGGTCTCCTGCTGAGGGGCAGCAGACACTTCCGGGCCGTCCCTTACGGAGGCACCGACCGCCGCCCACCCCGCAGGGCGCGGTGCCGGGGCCTGGCGAAAACCCAGATGCCGACAATAACGCAAACAATCCGCCATGAGTTCTGTCACGACGCGAGCATGTATCTGGGTCCGCCGCCCAGAAGCAGGCACCGACCGCCGCCCGCCCCGCGGGGTGCGGCTGCCACGGCGTCCTTTTGCTCGGCGGTCAGCTTCTGCGTGCAGAGCCTGGCTGGCCCGCTGGAGGGGGCGAGCGCGCTGTGCGCCTCCCCCGCGGACAGGTGCGGCTGGGCAGCCCTCCGGAGGCCGCAGTCCGTCGGGGGGGGGAGCGCGTCGCCGCCGGCAGGCGAATCTGGACCTGGGCCCCCACCCTTTGAGTTCCTTCCTTCTCTCCTCCAGAGGAAAAGGGAAGAAGATGATGATGATGACGATGATGATGATGAAGAAGAAGAAGAAGAACAAGAAGAAAAAGAAGAAGAATTATTCACTGCGTGGGGATCCCCATATGTGCATCTCCTTGCTGGCGCTCCCTTGGTGGTGGGACTCGGTGAGGACGAATCTGGATTCAAGTGTGACTGAGCTGCCTCTCTCTCTGCTCTCTCTGCTCTCTCTGTCTCTCTCTCTCTCTCTGCCCTCTCTCTGTCTCTGCCTCTCTTTCCCTGCCTCTCTCTCTCTCTGCCTCTCTCTCTGCCTCTGTCTCTCTGCCTCTCTCTCTCTCTCTCTGCCTCTCTCTCTGTGCCTCTCTCTCTCTGCCTCTATCTCTGCTCTCTCTCTCTCTCTCTCTCTCTCTCCTCTCTCTCTTCTCTCTATTCTCTCTCTGCTCTCTCCTCTCTCTCTCACTCTCCCTCTCTCTCTCTCTCGCTCTCTCTCTTCTCTTCTCTTCTCTTCTCTCTCTCTCTCTCTATCTCTCTCTCTTTCTCTCTCTATCTCTCTCTCTCTCTCTCTCTCTCTCTCTCTCTCTCTCTCTCTCTCGCTCTCTCGCTCTCTCTTGCTCTCTCTCGCTCTCTGTCGCTCTCTCTCGCTCTCTCTCTCTCTCTCTCTCTCTCTCTCTCTCTCTCTCTCTCTCGCTCTCACTCGCTCTCTCTCGCTCTCTCTCGCTCTCCCTCGCTCTCTCCCGCTCTCTCTCTCTCTCTCTGCTCTCTCTCTCTCTCTCTCGCTCTCTCCCGCTCTCTCTCTCTCTCTCTCTCTCTCTTTCTCTCTCTCTCTCTCTTCTCGCTCTCTCTCTCTCTCTCTCTCTCTCTCTCTCTCTCTCCCCCCCCCTCTCTCCACTTTCTCTCTCTATCTCTCTCTCTCTCTCTCTCTCTCTCTCTCTCTCTCTCTCTCTATCTCTATTCTCTCTCTCTCTCTCTCTCCTCTCTCATTCTCTGTTCTCTCTCTTCTCTCTCTCTCCTCTCTCTCGCTCTCTCTTCCTCTCTTCTCTCTTTCTCTCGCCGTTATCCTCTACTCAACTCCCCCTCTCTCTCTTCTCTCCTCTTTCTCTCTCTCTCTCTCTTCTTTTTCTCTCCTCCGCCTCTCTCTCTATCTCTCTCTCTCTCTCTCCTCTCTCTCCTCTCTCTCCTCTCCCTCTCTCTCGCTTATCTCTCGCTCTCTCTCTCTCTCTCTCTCTCTTTTTTTGCTCTTGCTCTGCTCTCCTTCTCTCTCTCTCTCATCTCTCTCTTTACTCTCTTCTCTCTCTCTCCTATCGTCTCTCTCTCTCTCTCTCCTCTCCCTCTCTCTCGCTTCCTCTCTCTCTCTCTCTCTCTTGCTCTCTCTACCTCTCTCTCGTCACGGGCTCGTGAGATCAGCCAGGGTGGCTCCCCCTTGGGGCTCCCAAATGATGCCCCTGGCAGCGTTTTGTGACCATGAGGCTCTCAAGAGATACATGTTGGGGACGCCAAACGGCAATTCTAGCTGAGGCGTCCCACCAAAATCGGCGCGAACGGGCTCGTGAGATCAGCCAGGGTGGCTTCCCCTTGGGGCTCCCAAATGATGCCCCTGGCAGCGTTTTGTGACCATGAGGCTCTCAAGAGATACATGTTGGGGAAGCCAAACGGCAATTCTAGCTGAGGCGTCCCACCAAAATCGGCGCGAACGGGCTCGTGAGATCAGCCAGGGTGGCTCCCCCTTGGGGCTCCCACATGATGCCCCTGGCAGCGTTTTGTGACCATGAGGCTCTCAAGAGATACATGTTGGGGAGGCCAAACGGCAATTATAGCTGAGGCGTCCCACCAAAATCGGCGCGAACGGGCTCGTGAGATCAGCCAGGGTGGCTCCCCCTTGGGGCTCCCAAATGATGCCCCTGGCAGCGTTTTGTGACCATGAGGCTCTCAAAAGATACATGTTGGGGGCGCCAAACGGCACTTCTAGCTGAGACGTCTCACCAAAATCGGCGCGAAGGGGCTTCGTTGGAGAACAGCCAGGTGGTTGGCCCCTCCCCTTGGGGCTCCCAAATGATGCCCCTGGCAGAGTTTGTGAACATGGAGCCCCTCAAGGAGAACATGTTCGGGGGGCGCCAAACGAAAATTCTAGCTGAGGACGTCCCACCAAATCGGCGGAACGGGCTCGTTGAGAACAGCCAGAGGTGGATCCCCCCTTGGGGACTCACCAAATGATGTCCCCTGGCAGCTTTTTGTGACCCATGGAGGCCTCTGAAGAGATACATGTTCGGGGGCGCCCCAAACGCGCCAAACGGCAATTCTAGCTGAGGCGTCCCACCAAAATCGCGCGAACGGGCTCGTGAGAACAGCCAGGGTGGCTCCCCCTTGGGGCTCCCAAATGATGCCCCTGGCAGCGTTTTGTGACCATGAGCCCCTCAAGAGATACATGTTCGGGGCGCCAAACGGCAATTCTAGCTGAGACGTCCCACCAAAATCGGCGCGGACGGGCTCGTGAGAACAGCCAGGGTGGCTCCCCCTTGGGGCTCCCAAATGATGCCCCTGGCAGCGTTTTGTGACCATGAGCCCCTCAAGAGATACATGTTGGGGGCGCCAAAGGGCAATTCTAGCTGAGACGTCCCACCAAAATCGGCGCGAACGGGCTCGTGAGATCAGCCAGGGTGGCTCCCCCTTGGGGCTCCCAAGTGATGCCCCTGGCAGCGTTTTGTGATCATGAGAGAGTGTGAGTGTGAGCTTAACTTATCTTATCTTATCTTGAAAGCTCTTCTTACCATATCTTGTGCTATCTTATCCTATCTTGTAGTATCTTATTTTGTCTTGTCTTATCTGGTGATTATCACTGGGAGGAGGGAGGCGCGAGCGGGAGGAAAAAGGAGGAGGAGGAGTGGGAGGCGTCAGAGTAATAACAAGAACCCCAATCCTTAGGATATGGGGAAAAAGAAGAAGAAGATGCGGCCCTGGGGGATAGGGGCCCTAAGGACGAGCGGCCTCACAGAAAGAATATTTGACCTGGCTCCCTTCCTAGCCCCAATCTTTCAACACCCCAGACCTGAAGGCCCAGTCTTGGAATCGACGATTCTCCCTCTTCCCTCCCTCCCTCCCTCTCCCTCTCTCCCCGCCTGGTCACCCCCTACCCAGCGGCCCCAGCGACCGATCGAGGACTCTGCACCTGTACCGGTCCAATCGACTCTGGCGTGGTATCGGAGTCCCCCGGTGAGGTCTTCCCCTGGCTGCAGATATTTTCCGAGCTCTGAGCTCAGAAACCAATCTATTTCAGAAACCCAACCTTCTGGGGTAGGGCTCACGTGAAGCTTCCCGCCGCCTCCTCCTGCTTCGGGTCCCATGAATGGGAGAGATAGGGAAGGGGGGGTACGAAATCTGCTGCATGCGGCTAGTTCCGGCCACGCCGTCGGGCGCTCTCCTCGACACATTGGCGCCTCTGGTGCCGGGAAAACCAGCTACGTGAGCTGATCCGCTGCCCCCCCCCCCCACGCCCCCCCCCCCCCCCCCCCCCCCCCCCCCCCCCCCCCCCCCCCCCCCCGACCCCCCCCCTGCCCCCCCCCCCCCCCCCCCCCCCAGACATCCTCCGTCATGTTTTTCACCGTGTGGTTCCCTTGAGGTCTAGACCCCTTCCCCAGGACCAGTTCTTCTGGTTGACGCTCCCGGGGCCCGGTGAGGGCCCCTGAATCCGAAAATTCGACCCCCCCCAAAAAAAAGAAAAACGTGTTTCGCGAATGTTTCGCGGCGCGAGGATGTCTGGGCCCCCCTTGACCCATTGCCCCCCTCCCCCCCTCTGTCCGGCCCGACCCTGGAGTCAGGGGAAGAAAAGACGGCCGCTGCCGCTGCTCGCCCTGGGGAGGCCCCCGCCGCCGCGGCCGCGGACTCCCCCCGAGACCCTGGTTCAGAGCACGCCCTGGGAGAGGCCCAGGAGCAAGGGCACCGAGACTGATACCCTTGCCTCGTTTGCGCCTGTCTGGGCCTCCTGGGAGGCCCTCGTCGCCACGACTGCATTCGCCGTGCCAGTCTGGCCAGAACGCACCCGCTACACGTAAGAGTGACCCTTGGCCAGAGTGACCTTTAGTGTTGGCCCTAGTGGGGTCGGACAGATGTTCTTCAGGAGTGCGCTCGGCCTCGTGTCGGCGCACGCTGCACCAGTCTGCGATCGCATCAGAGTGCGCTTGATTCAGGGTGCGCCCCTCGCAATCGATCGCAACGCATGCACGGTGCATTTTGCCGCGCGTTTCGTTTGGCAAGGGGGGGCCCAGTCGAGCGGGCAACGTACTCTCCGCTTTGGGACTGGTCCCAAATCGCCCTGGGATACCTGCGATTAACGTTGACTAACTTTGACGAATTTTGAATAACTTTTCGGCTTCCGCGCTTTACAACTCAATTCTTGACGATTGAAAATTATTTGCGGCCGCGGGGGGGGCAAATTTCGGCCCGGTTTCGGCCTTGACGCCGGACCCGGTCAGACGTCATCGCGAGCGGCCCGGCGGTGCCAAAACATTCCGCGGTGGCGCCCGATTACGTCTGGCTTCGCAGAGCCCTCTGGCGGGTGTGCTGGGGCGCCCGGAACGACTTGGCGGAAGTCCGCAATTGCCTGCTGGCGCTAGGGATCTATCGAAGCGCGCCCCACCGATCGTTGATGCAATCCGACGGCCTCGGATTGCGCGGTTGCTCCAGGCCCCCACGGGCCCCCCCTAAGGCCGCGCACCAAGGGCACTCTTGCCCAGGGTCACTCTTACGTGTCGCCGGTACCCCAGGAGACGTCCGGGGAGTAGCCGTATCGGTGCCTCATGGTTGCCCCGGGAAGGTGGGCACACGCACCGCCCCTCGCCAGGCCCATCGTCCTGGGCTAACGGTCTGTGCAGATCCAAGAGGGCGTGCGCACCGAGCCCGGGCCCAGGATGACAACGGCCATGACACGCTGCAGGCCCTGGGCATCCGACGGCACGATTTCTTCGCGGCGTGGCCCCAACAAAAATAGCCAGGCGAAGGACCCAACCATATGCAGTTGTGAATGCCGCAATTGTGAATACCATCTTCGCCCGCGCTCCCTATGTGGCCACGGCTTCCCGCCAGAGCCCGACATGCTCAGGACAACGTTCGTGGCCGTCCGACGACGACAAGGACGGCGTCCCTCTGACCGAGGAGCAGAAGCAGGAGAGGGCTTTGAGAGCCATGAGGGAGGGGGTGGCGGTGCACGTCGAGAAGGCGGAGTACGACGCCCAGGCGCGGTTGTTGAACCAGCACAACCATGGGGCCACGATCCTCGTGAGGGGTGTGCCGAAATTGCCTGGGGCCGCCGTGGGAACCCTGCCACTGGGGGCCTTCGGTGGAGCTCCTATGGGGCCACGATCCTCGTGAGGGATGTGCCGAAATGGCCCGAGGCCGCCATGCGCACTTTGCTACTGGCGCCTTCGGTGGAGCTCCTATGTGGCCACGATCCTCGTGAGGGGTGTGCCGAAATGGCCCGAGGTCGCCATGCGCACTTTGCTACTGGCGCCTTCGGTGGCGCTCCTATGGGGCCACGATCCTCGTGAAGGGTGTGCCGAAATGGCCCGAGGCCGCCATGCGCACTTTGTTACTGGCGCCTTCGGTGGAGCTCCCTATGTGGCCACGGTCCTCGTGAGGGGTGTGCCGAAATGGCCCGAGGCCGCCATGCGCACTTTGCTACTGGCGCCTTCGGTGGAGCTCCCTATGGGGCCACGGTCCTCGTGAAAAAAAAAAAAAAAAAAAAAAAAAAAAAAAGGGGTGTGCCGAAATGGCCCGAGCCACCGTGCAAAAAAAAACCGAAAAACCCTGCCACTGGTGCCTTCGGTGGAGCTCCTATTTGGCCACGATCCTCGTGAGGGGTGTGCCGAAATGGCCCGAGGCCGCCAGGCGAACCCTGCCTCTGGGGCCTTCGGTGGAGCTCCCTATGTGGCCACGGTCCTCGTGAGGGGTGTGCCGAAATGGCCCGAGGCCGCCATGCGAACCCTGCCATTGGCGCCTTCGGTGGAGCTCCCTTTTGGGGCCACGATCCTCGTGAGGGGTGTGCCGAAATGGCCTAGGCCGCCATGCGGCACTTTGTGCTACTGCGCCCTCGGTGGAGCTCTCCTATACACCGCCCACGATCTTGTGAGGGGTGTGCCGAATGGCCCGAGCCGCCATGCGCAACTGTTTGCTATGACGGCCTTCGTGGCGCCTTGGTTTCGGTCCTTCCTCGTGTGGGTGTGCGAATGGCCCGAGGCCGGACTGCGCACTTTGCTACTGGCGCCTTCGGTGGAGCTCCTATGGGGCCACGATCCTCGTGAGGGGTGTGCCGAAATGGCCCGAGGCCGCCATGGGAACCCTGCCACTGGGACCTTCGGTGGAGCTCCTATGGGGCCACGGTCCTCGTGAGGGGTGTGCCGAAATGGCCCGAGGCCGTCATGCGCACTTTGCTACTGGCGCCTTCGGTGGAGCTCCTATGTGGCCACGATCCTCGTGAGGGGTGTGCCGAAATGGCCCGAGGCCGCCAATGCGCACTTTGCTACTGGCGCCTTCGGTGGAGCTCCCCTGGGGCCACGATCCTCGTGAGGGTGATGATGATGATGATGATGATGATGATGATGATGATGATGATGATGATGAGGATGATGAGGATGATGAGGATGATGATGATGACGATGATGCGAGGAGGGGGGAGGGGGCAGCGGGAGGAGGAAGGAACGCGGGGCGCTGTCTCTTCAAGACGAGGACCCAACACCACATAATGGTTCGGAACTAAGTCCCTTTGCCGGGACCAGATTTTCATCCCGAGTCGTTATTTGACGGTCCTGGCGGCCTGCGAGGGCACCCAGAGGCCAAAAAAAGGTGGAACAAAATCTCCATCGCTAGTTTTTCGCAACGAGAATCTGTCCGGGCAGGCCCAAGCCAGCAGGTGGGAGGGGAACAACCGACAGAAGACGCCCATCGTGACTTTTCGCAGCGCCAGGGGGAGTTGGGGTTCTGCGCGGCACGACCACTCGCGGGAATCACTCTCGGGGGGCTCTCGGCTGGCGACGTGGTGCAGGACTGGTTGATGAGCACCTTGATCTCGTATGGGGAGTTCCTTCACCAAGCTTGCACTCATGGGGCGCATAAAGACATGAGTGGAACTGATGTTCTGTCTTATTGGCGATGGCTCCCTTCACTGGCCTTGCCCCACCACCTCCGCCCCCCCGCTGGTAACGTCACGATTCGCACAGGCGCAGTGCTCGTTATCGTCAGGAAACGTTGAACATGTCTCTACTACAATATATGTCGCTTGGAAACTCAAGTCCGACCAGATCATGCATTACAAACATGTTGCATCATTTTGCTATCCAAAAGACAAGGACAGAAACCGCCCGTCACGGAGATCATCCGCCACAGTGCCGCGAGGCACTGAGTGAAGCCCTCAGGACATCAAGAGCCCCGAATCCTCATATTCCATATTTCACGTATCTATACGACCACCCTTCGGGTGATAAGGACGTTGTGGGGAGAGGGGGAGAGGGGGGAACCAACATCTGACTCAATCGATCTCACTATCGATCTCACTCAACGGGACACCACGGGACACCAAGGGACACTTGTCGATCTCACTATCGATCTCACTATCGATCTCACTCAACGGGACACCACGGGCCACCACGGGACATCGCGGGACATCGCGGGACACCTCTCGTTCTCACTATCGGTCTCACTATCGATCTCACTATCGATCTCACTCAACGGGACACCATAAGACACCACGGAACACCTCGGGACACCACATCGACCTCACTAACTATCGATCTCAATATCGATCTCACTATCGATCTCACTCAACGGGACACCATAGGACACCACGGAACACCTCGGGACACCACATCGATCTCACTATCGATCTCACTTGTTTGGACACCACGGGACACCGTGGGACACCTCTGGACACCACATCGATCTCACTATCGATCTCACTATCGATTTCACTCAATGGGACACCACATGACACCACAGGACACCACGGGACACCTTTCGATCTCACTATCGATATCACTATCGATCTCACTTTTTGGGACACCGCGGGGAACCAGATCGATCTCAGTATCGATCTCAATATCGATCTCAACATCGATCTCACTATCGATCTCACTCAACGGGACACCACAAGATACCACGGAACACCACGGGACACCACGGGACACCGCGGGATACCGCGAGCCACCACCGGACGGACGGACGGACGGACGGGCGGGCGGGGGAGAATTAGTTGTCTTGACTTCGCCCTAGCAACGGCGGACACCACGGGACACCACGGGACACGGCGAGTCACCGCCGGACGGGCGGGCGGGGGAGAATCATTTTTCTTGACTTCGTCCCAGCAACGGCGGACACCAAGGGACACCACGGGACACCACGGGACACCGCGGGACACCGCGGGCCACCGCCGGACGGGCGGGCGGGGGAGAATTATTTGTCTTGACTTCGCCCTAGCACCGGCGAGTTCATTCCTCTCGCGCGCCCACGCAGGTTCGCCTCGCCCTCACGCACGACACGAATGAAACGAAACGATTTCCCGGTTGGGGGTCTCCGTTCCACTGCGATCTCACCCTCCAACTTTCGATTCCTCAAAGGCCTCAGTAGCTCAATTGGCGAGTTTCTTGAAGCGGGCTGAAGGAAAAACACACTCCAATAGCTTGGCCAGACTTCGGCCCAACGTTCGGCCGCATGGGCGGGTTCAAACGGCAGGGGGCGTCGGCGTCTTCGATACTTAAGATGTTTCAATGTGCGCGTCGCCACTTCAGGACCGGCGCGCATATATTACCTATA